ATGGCAGTGAGTTGGTTTGGCGTTTCTGTACATACCCAATGATGCTCATCACTAGGCTCCTGACTGTAAGACAGCGGCTACTGTCTGTATAAATACTAAAGAAATAATTTCCTCTCTGTCTGTTGCAACATGTCAGGCAACCAGCAATGGTGCTCAAGGTAGTTCCATTTTTGTTTGTTTTCTCAATAGGATGACTAATACAAACTCCAGAATAATAAGTGTACACTTGCGTTTTTCATGTATATGCTAATTCATTTGATGACAATTTAGCCGGAGTCTTTTGCCTTTGAGTTGTGGATCAAAAACGAATAGTTTCATTATTTAGAAACCACAGCAAAAGGAGCCACGTCTCTGACTGTGGCATCACAGGGTGGATGGCAATACAAGTTGAAACCTACAAAACCGGTCAGCAATAACCCTGAGTGGGAGGCACACAAAGCAAGAGGTCAGTTATCACCATGAAATCGCTCGCACTCGGCAGCATCAAGCTAGGAGACACAATGAAGTCCGGGGTGGGCATTGTAGACGCACATCGAATAATTAAGAGAAAACTGGACCATGAAAGCAAAGACTAGAGAAGTCAGAATCACAAAATAGATGTTGGCCAAGACTGACTTCAAATCAGTCTTTGAAATGCCTAGCTGCTCTCACAGTCAAGCCCGGGATGAAGTGGCGTCTTACCCGGCCAAACATCGTCTTAAAGGTCTCAGTGATGACCTGGCGCTGAGCATTACTGCGGGATGTCAGCAGCGTCAGGATGGTCTCCTCATCGGTACCTGCAATTATGTTTAAACAGTTACATCCGGTCTCTGACGTGCCCACTCTCCCAGGTACCTCTGCCTGGATCTCCCTGGCTGCTGTATTTCCTCATCTATATCAAAGCACAAAATGCTCATCACACTAGGAGGCTTCAAAAAGTGTGCGGTGAGGGATGAACAACAGAAACGTGGGTGAAAGGAGACAGTGGCCGGTGTAAAACATGAAAATAATAATAATACATAATTTATCAAGGGTTCATGGGGGATGGGGGTAGGGAAGAGGAGCTCACACCAAGGGCTCAAGTAGGAAGAAAAAGTTTTGAAAATGATGATGGTAACATATGACCAAATGTGCTTGATACAATTGACAAACAGATTATTATAAGAGTTATGAGAACCCCCAATAAAGTGATTTTATTAAGTGTGTGGAAAAACGCCATTATTTTTTAATTCGATTTTTCCACAAAGATTCTTGAAGCCTCCTTGTACATATATTTGTATAATATATACTTAAAGTTATAATATAGAAAATGTTCTCTCTCTAAAATAAACTACTTGGCATATTGTAAAGAAGCTGTTAAAATACTCTCAACTTTTAAAAAATTGAGTGCTCAGAGCTTTCCATGCAACGAACAGTTTCTAGAGTAACTGCACTACTGTTCTCAAGGGACAGTACTGGGTGTTCCAAAGGATCAAGAGAGGAGAGAGACAGAGGCACTGGCTCTAAGCGACAGACAATGCAACATGAAAAATATAAAACACAGAGTTACTTGTGGCTTCAGGTAGCATGTGATAAATGTTTCAGGAGAGAGACCCAAGTGTTAAATGGAGTTTAAAAGAAGTTCTTTCCTTCTCTCTCTTTCTCTCTCTCTCTCTCACCATAGAAGACCAGGGATGTGGAATAGCCTTGCTAATATGCAGAATGCACTGAAAAGTGGATGGTTACAGATGCCATGAGGTTAAAATTTAGTGCCCTATCATTTGATCTCCCTTAGGATCCATCTAAATTTCTTCTTTTTTTAATATTTTCTGCTTTCTTTTTGATTGAGGTATTTAATCTGTTTTACTTTTCATTCTTATTAGTTTGTTCGTGGTTTAATGTTTCTCTGTATATGGAATCCAGGATGGGTAAATCTACAGAGAAAATAACCACTGGATTAATGGTTCCTTAGGGGTGTGGCAGGGGAGGCCTGGAGGAAATGGGGAGCTGATAAAGATGAGTACAAGAATGAAGAAAATATTCTAAAACTGATTGTGGTGATGATTGTGCCACTCTTCTTTATGACTTTAGTAGAGGGTTCAATAAAGAAAGGGGGAAGACGTTTAAGATGAGGGGAACGTACAGCCTTAGGAAACACAGGGATTTCATGAGTAGTAGACAATCCAAGGCGCATGGATACGAGGTGGGCTGGGGCATTGATGAAAGGTCTGGCAAGGGCAGAAAGCCTGCTCGGGATACAGAATGACAGACCAGAGCAGAGTCAGAGGAAACTGGATCCTTACGCATGGGCACCAGTGTGGGAGGAAGCTGAGGACAGGGAGATCAATTACATGCGGAACTCGAGGGGAGATGGTGTCCATGCCAGAAAGGAGATCATGTCCCTGGATGGAACACACAGGGAAGCACTCTGCTGCTAACAGAAAAGGCACCTAAGCATTTGAGTGCACCCACAGGAGCATCAGGGGGCAGGCCCGACACCTCCTCCCCATAAAAGCTTATGGATCAGAGGTCTAGACATGACACACTGGAGGTTGCACCTGTTGGAACTGACTCGTGGCAGCAGTCACGAGTTTGGGGAGGGGGAGTTATTATTATTTTGTTTGTCGTCCTTTTGTTTGTTTATTTGAGAAAGTAGAACTGGACATCTTGTTGATAGTAAGGCACAAAGAGCTACGCACAGCTGATCTCTCTCGGTGAGGACTGGATAGCTACTCGAGCCACTTCCATACAGGTAAAGTGAAAAGCGTAGGGTGGGAAGAGGCTGACTTTAACTTCCCACCCATTTTTAAAGACTGAATATTAGGGATAGTCCAGAGTATTCCTTGATTATCTTTTTTTAATCATTTTTATTGGGGGCTCATACAACTCTTATCACAATCCATACACAATACACATTACACAATCCATACACATTACACAATCCATACACATCCATTGTGTCAAGCACATTTGTACATACGTTGCCATCGTCTTTTTCAAAACATTTTCTTTCTACTTGAGCCCTTGGTATCAGCTCCTCATTTTTTTTTTCTTCTCCCTCCCAGGTCCTCCCTCCCTCATGAACCGTTGATAATTTATAATTTTTTTTTCATGTCTTACACTGACTGATGTCTCCCTTCACCCACTTTTCTGTTGTCCATCCCCCTGGGAGGGGGTTATATGAAGATCATTGCGATCTGTTCTCCCTTTCTTCCCCTATCTTCCCCTTACCCTCCTGGTATCCCTACTCTCATTATTGATCCTGAGGGGTTTTTCTGTCCTGGATTTCCTGTTTCCAGCTCTTACTTGCACCAGTGTACATGCTCTGGTCTAGCCGGATTGGTATTCATTGATTATCTTAAAGTACCTTTTCTCTAAGAAATGGCACGTAAAAATATTCTAAAATTATTCATATAAAAATCAAGGACTGTTTGTTTGAAAAACAAAACAAAACAATGCCCCATTTTCTAAGAATATAAATGTGGCTTGATTTACCCAGGCCTTTCATTGCTTTTCGAAGGGCTTCTGCATCGGCCCGCTCATCAAATTCAGGGAAGGCAGTCACTGTGCCTCTGAGAACCTACGAAAAAGGAACAAAGATGTTATTCATATCATGGCTAGTTATAACAAAGCAAGTCATATCAACGGTAAGCCACTCAGTCACATTCAGTCTTTAAATAAATTTACCATTTGATTAGATCTGTGACCCACTGGAAATTCAACATGGTTCATCTGTTCATATGTGACATGGATTAACACGACCAGCTTTCCTGGCATAGCACATTCCAAAGGCGCCCTTTCCTTCAGGCATGCCCCCGGAATCAAGTCCCACCACTGCCTGTGGGCTCCTGGGAGGCTTTCTCCCAGTAAAGTCTCGCCCTACTGTGTTCTGGGAGCATGTTGAGCTTGCAGTAAAAGCTGATGCCCCACCCCAGCACTCAATTCTAAGCAATCTTCTTGGCATTTCATCTAAGCCTGTTTCCAAATAATTACTCAGGAATTTTTAAAAAGCTCAATAAAGCCTGCAGAGGTGTTTGGTGATACATGTGGCACAAGGGCGCAAACTTTTCAATTTAAAACTTTATAGACGTCTGTTAGAAGACATCCGTTCTTGTAAGGCTTCCTCTTATAGATCATGCTACTACCTATAGTACTTTGCATCATCAAATACTATCGTATGCCCATAAAACTATGAAATTATCCTTAGATCTTTAGGGTCAGGATGCCTTACTAATATTGGGCCATAAACTCTGTATCCTTGTGGAAATGCCACAGCTTATAAATTACACAGGGCACAAAGTGAGGCTCACAGTTGGCCTTTACATGAACTAGATCACTCCAGATGTGCTCTGAAAAAACACCCTAATACGACTTTAGGAGTCTCCCAGCATTTACTTTTATCAGTAAATCTTTTTTTTTTTTCATCCCGGATAATTCTTACAAAGATATCATTTGATTTGAGACTGAGAAGCAGACAGCTGGGGTCCGTCAGGAGCAGCAGGAGGGAGTGACAGGATACTAAGCCTGGTTTACAATTGCAGGTGTTTTATCATGAATGTATGCAAGGACAGTCATTCACAGGGGATGGGAGGTAGGGGGACTGATTCTACCTCAGACGCCAATTACTGCATTTGTCAACATACCAAAATCCAGTAGTTTTTGTTTAAAGACACCAGAGGAAAAGGCTACTACAGGGCAAAACCAAGGGGAAATAAACACCTGTGGGGTTCCACGTCAGCTTCAAGACTTTCTCGAGGGAATGGTTCTGAATTACCAGTATGCCACCTGGAACAGTGGCATCCATGGAGCCAGGCACGTGAATCAGCTGTGGGAAAATGTTCAGGAAATCCCACAGGCGCACATCCTGAGCATCAAGTGTTGATCATGAGTCGAGAAGGGTACTTACCAAGAGAAGAGAGGTGTTTCCAGTTGGATCCCCCAGCCCCATAGTAAGTTGCAGTTTTCATGCCCTATGTCTCTAAGCCGGTGGTTCTCAACCTTCCTGATGCTGCGACCCTTTAATACAGTTCCTCATGTGTGGTGACCCCCAACCATAGAATTATTTTCGTTGCTACTTCATCACTGTCATTTTGCTACTGTTATAAAGTGGGCAACCCCTGTGAAGGGGTCATTCAATCCCCAAAGGGGTCAAGACCCAAAGGTTGAAAACTGCTGCTCTAAGCTAAACAAAGAACTCTAACCATAAAAAGGAGAGGAGGGATAAGCCTCTCTCCCACTTGTCTTAGGGAGTAGTCATGAAGTTAAGCTCCTCATTCTGCCAAGTGGGACCCACCCGCAGCCAGACGGTCTCCATTTCACCCATTCAGCGAGCGCAGAGAAGACCAATGTGTCCCTTCCATTGGTCCTGCAGACTGACCCACACGAACCGGTCGATAAAGAAAGACTGAATATTGGCAGTTTCATATATTTTCATATAATTAAAAGTAGCAAATTGAATAAAAGAAGAATATGGAAAGGAAAGTGCTAAGACGTGCCTGAGAGGATGCATCCTGAGAATTAGTGTGGGTGAAGATTAAGTTAGTTCTTCCGGGGAAAATTGCTAGTTTTTCTCTGTTTGGCCCAATACATCATCAATACTGTCTGAAAAATGAGTAGCTGTCTTAAGTTATTTAAGTGAGATTGTAAGACTAACTATATAATAATACATATGGCAGTTCATATATCTGTTTACCCATTCACTCAAGAAGACATTTGGAATGTCTTCGTGGGTCAAATATTATTATATAAAGATGACGGAAAGTAACATTTTTTGAGCTATTGAATTAGGGTGAATTCTGGGATGCAAAAGGGTTTTTCCCCAGGTTGTCTCCCCCAAATATATCTGTTTGCTACACATGGTAAATGACTGTACACTTGGAAGTCAATGCAAGCTGCTTAGAGGGAATTCTCCATGGGGATTATTAACCATCTAGAGTAATCAGATTGTGGGCCCTAAGTAGGGCCCAGTCCCTTCTGATAAGGATAGTGGATTGCTTCCCTCAAGGAGAGCCAAGTGGAAAGGTGGAGCCCACTCAAGGATGACCATCTTAAGTCTGGGGTCTGCTCATTTGTCACATGTGTACCCCAAATCCCTCCCCTTCCTATTGCGTGTACACCCCTAACTCATCCCCTTCCTGTGATGCATATGCCTATTGTACATCCCCTTCCTGTTACCTATGGGGTTACCTGTAATCAGGGGGGCTTGGACACCCCTAAGCATATATAGGCCTTGGTCAGAAATAAAGAGCATATGCTCTCTGCCCCTCCTCCTCCTCCGCTCTCTGCTCGACCTGGCTGCTGAGATCATGGCCATCCTGGAAGTGAACATGTTACCATAAAATGTCTGACTCTTTTATTTTACCTTCTTTCCTATCTCTCCTATCTTCTATGACTTTACTATGATCTGTATATATTATAACCATACAATTGCTCCTACGGACCCCCTTGGCTGCTAGAGGCTGGTTTACTCGAACAGTGAATGAGGCCAAAATTCACCATTGGAAATGCCAAAAGACATGCCCGGTGTATGCATAACTGTGCTATGCCAGAACTTTCTAACCTAATGTTTTCATTTCCACCCATTGTGCACGTGCACCCATTATTTATACAGGCTTGTTTTGGGAAGAATAAAATATCGTCCTCACAAGTGGAGACAGGAAGACTGTTGCAAACACTAGTGCTGCCGTTGTCAGCCTCCATTGCGTCTGCCCCTGGACTCATGGTGACCCCCCAAACACAAAAGAGCTAACTGCTGCCTGCTCCTGCACCACCCTGGGATCAGCTCTGATTTACAATTGGGATCTTTAGGGTTTTTACTGGGTGATGTTTTGACTTAAAACGCCACACTGTATTCCCTACTGCACCTCAGTCTAGGAGCTCCACTGAAACCTGTTTAGCATCCTAGCAACACACATCTACACTGACCCAGGGCATCAGGGCCCTGGCTAAGATTCAGTCTGGTCTCCCGCGTGAAAAGTGAGAATTCAACCACTCCCTACTGAAACAAGATGAACTCCGGGGAAAAGCAAAGAGAGCCTGATCTAAAAGAGGAGCAGGAGAAACGGAAAGGAAACGATAAGAACAGGGGCTCAAGGGGAATGAGGACCATCGAGAGGATTCCCTTTTAGATGGCGAGTAGAAAGGTTGACTTTTCCTTTCCCCACAGTAAGACAGAAGAATGGAAGCAGAAGAGAAGCAGGCTGTGAGTTGTCACATACACAAGTGTGACTGAAGCAGTCTGAAGGAAGGCTAGCACACAAGACATTATGATTGGGCAGATGGCCATCAAAAAGAATAGTGTCTGGTATCTTAAAAACTTGTCTTCAAACAAGCAGCCATCTAAGTGAGGTGTCAACTAAGTTCATATGGAAAACGCACACCAGCTTGTGTGATCCAAAGATGACAAGTAACAAAATCTGAATACAATGGAGGGAAAGATATCAGAGCTTAAACTGTAAACACCCAATTTGCATTAGACTATGGGAGAAGGCAGTGGGAGCCTAAAATCGATCTGCAGGGTACTTACATGGATCTCTGGTAGATCCCCTCTGGCCACAGTACAGAGACACAAATAACATTTGTGGCAGATCAAAGTGCCATATAATGGTCATTTGATCTCCTTTTCTTTCACTTTTAAAAAAATATATGTTTTTTTTACTGTTTTCATTTTGGGGCGCATATTTCCCAGTTTATGAAGCACAGAAGTGATGAATGTAGAGACAATAACTGAAGTAATGGCTTACCAGGGCGAGGGGAGGGAGAGGTTGAAGGGAATTGGGGAACAAATAGTGACTACAGGAGGGGAGATGCAGTGGAACTAATAATGGTGATGGATATACAACTCTTTTAAAACATTACTGAACTCTTTTTAGGTATAGCATGTGAATCATATCTTCATTAAAAATTCTAAAAACCTTTTAAAACAACTAGGCAGAAAGAAGAGCCAGAGGAGAATGAGAATGTCACCTATCATCAGAATGGCAGCTGACAGTTCTGCGGGCGGTGGCGAACCAGGTACTGTGCTCAGAACTTCCTATGGGTCACCTGTGTGAAACTCCAGTCTACAAATGAAGAAACAAACTGGCATAGAAAAGTTTGGCAACTCAACTAAGAACCCAGGTCATGAGACTGAGCTGCTGAGGCTATACTGCTTCCCTTAATGGCGAGAAGAAAACCAGAAGAGGGTGAGGCCCTGCCAGTCCAGGGAGAAAAATGTTCCCCGAGGAAAGGAAGCGGCAGTGTCTGGTACTACAGGGAAGTCAAGTGAGAGGTAAGACAGACAAGGACCTACTAGATTTGGTAATTAGGAGGCCTTGGATAATAAGATAATTACTTAGCTAATTAGATAATGAAGCGGTCTTTGTCAAAGACAGAGCAGAAGTAGATTGAAGAGTGAAATTAGAAGGTAGAACATCTCAGCAAAAGCCATTTGACAGATGGAAATAAGATACTAATGGAGAAAAATCACGACGAAAGGAGAAAAGTCATTCAGAAGAAAGGATTGAAGGAGGCACTCTTGGAGAAGCAGTCTGGAGACTATGAAGACATTAGCATCTCCAGTCGAAGGACAGGTTGAACGCA